ACTTTTTTTTTTTTTTTTTTTTTTTTTTTTTTTCTTTTTTTTTTTGCTAGCAATCTTTGTCGTGACCCAGGTTGAGTGGCAAAGTTTGGTTTCCCAATTCTGGGCCAACTGCAACCTCCAAACCCCCCCAATCGCAGGTGAATCCTCCTGTCCTCAAGCTTGTCTTGCACTAGTTGGAATTAACAGGGTCACAACGACCACACCTGGCTAATTTTTGTAATTTTTAGTAAGAGAGTGGTCTTTCAACCATGTTTGGCCAGGCTGTCCCTCAAAACTCCTACCTCAAGTGATGCCGCCCACCTCAGGGAGTGAACCACCACGCCCAGCCCTTTTTATTCTTAACTTTAAAATGTTATCCTCTTGTTTGTAAATTTTACAATTAAACATTTTTAAAGAAATTAATATTTTTTTACTTTGACAATTGTTAATTATCTTCACTAGAAACATCTTGAGGAGCAGATTGCTAAAGCTGATAGAGAATATGAAGAATGCGTGTCAGAAGATCTCTCGGAAAATATTAAAGAGATTAGAGATAAGTATGAGAAGAAAGCTGCTCTAATTAAGTCTTCTGAAGAATGAAGATAAAATGTTGATCATGTATATATATCCATAGTGAATAAAATTGTCTCAGTAAAGTGTATTTTTCTCTCTTATTTCTTAATAACTTCAAATGGTGAGAAGACAAGGTAGTATGATTTAAACCAGAAGTTGGCAAAATACAGGTTGAGGATCCCTTGCCCAAAATGCTTGGCCCAGAATTGTTTTGGAATTGGATTTTTGGGGGTTGGGTGTTTTGTTTTGTTTTCAGATTTTGGAATTTTCATGATATCTTGAGGACAGGACTCTTGTCTAAACATGAGATTTATTTATACACCTTATACACATAGGCTGAAGGTTATTTTATACAATATTTTTAATAAATTTGTGCATGAAACAATGTTGACTGCAATCCTTCATGGAGTCAAGTGTGGCATTTTCCAATTGGCATTATGTCAGAGCTCAAAAAGTTCAGATTTTAGACTGTTTGCAGTGGCTCATGCGTGTAATCCAAGGACTTTGGGAGGCCAAGGTGTGAGATCCTACAAAAAGTGTAAAAATAAGCCAGGCGTGGTGGCACACACCTGCAGTTCTGCCACAGTTCTGCACACCAGCCTGGGTGGCAGAGCAAGACCCTATCTCCAAAAAAGAAAAAAAGAAAAGTTTCAGATTTTGAGACATTTTGGATTAGAGATGTTCTCAACCTACATTATGTGGGCCAAATCCAGATGCACCATGTATCTTCATATTGTCTATGGACTGGCTTTCTTACTATATGGCAGATGTGAGTATATCTCAAGAGACCATGTGGCCTGCAAAGCCAGAAATGTTTAGGAAATGTTTACTGTCTGACCTTTTACAGAAAGGTTGGCTGATCCCTTGTACAAATTATACAAAGGTTGGTACTAACTACTTTCCTTTTTTTTTTTTTTTTTTTTTTTTTTTTTTTTCTGAGCAGGATATCGGCTCTGTAGCCCAGGCTGGAGTGCAGTGGCCGCATCTCAGCTCACTGCACCTCCGCCTCCGCGGGTTCAACGCCATTCTCCGGCCTCAGCCTCCTGAGTAGCTGGGATACCAGGCAGCCCGGACCACGCCTCGGCTATTTTTGTTTTGTATTTCTTAGTAGAGACGGGGTTTCACCGTTGTTAGCCAGGATGGTCTCGATCTCTGACCTCGTGATCCGCACCATCTCGGTCCAAAGTGCTGGCGATTACAGGCTTGAGCCACCCGCCGCACGGCCCTTAAATTTTCCAATGACTCTAGGCATATAGTACACCACATCCTAACCAGAGCCCCTATCGTTTTCCAAGAAGATAAAGTTCTTTCTGGCTTCATGCTGTTCTTATACCTGAAACAGAAGGAAATATAGAATGTGAGAAACATAGAAATAATAAAGAGTTCAACCCCTCATTTTAGAGATGGGAGTTTAGTCCTAGAGAAGGCTCTGATTTCCCATCAGATTACACCTCTTAGTAGTGCTGGAAGCCACAATGGAACTTACTCAGCTGGTGGCACAATCCAGGGTTCAGCCGCAGGAGCCATGACAAGTGAATATTCAGGATGTTAGAATGTGAGGTTTAAATTTCTGTTTCTTCAAATGTGAGGTCAGAATGAAGAACCATAAAAAGAAATGTAAGTAATATACGATAAAAACTTGGGAATGGAATTACAGCAACGCTTTATGAGGAGAGAGCTTTAGAGTGATAAAAAGACATTACAGTTAGGGATAACTAATAATGACAAGAATGGCCGGGCGTGGTGGCTCACGCCTGTAATCCCAACATTTTGGGAGGCCAAGGCGAGTGGTCACGAGGTCAGGAGAGTCGAGACCCATCCTGGCTAACACGCCTGAAACCCCATCTTCACTAAAAATACCAAAAAAAAAAAATTAGCCGGGCATGGTGGCGGGCGCCACTTGTAGTCCAGCTACTCGGGGGCTGAGGCAGGAGAGATGACGTGAACCTGGGAAGCGGAGCTTGCAGTGAGCCGAGATGCGACACTGCATCCAGCCTGGGTGACACAGACTCACGTCTCAAAAAAAAAAAAAAAAAAAAAGACAAGATTAGTAGTTACCATGTATTGAAAAATCTTGACTTCTGACATCTAATAGAACTTTTCTTCAATAGAAATGCTTTATCTGCACTATCTAGTGTGGTACCAGCACATGTAGTTATTGTGGCACTCAAGTGACACATGAAGAAAGAGACTCAAGATCTGAATGGACATTTCCTCAAATCAGATAAGTGGCCAATGGGTATGTGAAAAAATGCTGAACATCACTATTCAGAGAAATGCAAATCAAACCACAATGACACTCACCTCAGACACCAGTTAAAATGGCTTTTATCAAAAAGGGAATAGGGTTCCTGGCAAGGATGTGGACAAAAGGGAACCCTCCTCCGCTGTTGATGGGAATGTAAATTAGTGCAGCCACTGGAAAACTGGAGGTTCCTGAAAAAATTAAAAATAGGACTATCATATGATCCAGCAATCCCACTGCTGGGTATATATCCAAAAGAAAAGAAATCAATATATTGAAGAGATATCTGCACTCCCATGTTTATTGCTGCACTGCTCACAATAGCCAAAATACGGAATCAACCCAAGTGCCCATCAGTGGGTAAGTGGATAAAGAAAATGTGATAATATATATACTCAATGGACTATTCCATCATTTAAAAAAATGAAATCCTATCATTTGCAGCAACATGGATGGAACTGAAGGTCACTGTTAAGTGAAATAAGCCAAGCGCAGACACACAGATATCACATGTCCTCGCTCATAAGTAGGAGTTATGAATGTGGATCTCATACAGATTTGTGGTTACCAGAGGCAGGGATGTGTAGGGGCAGGGAGGGATGAAGAGAGGTCAATAAATGGGTACAAAAAATACAGGTAGATAGAAAAATAGACCTAGTGTTCGATAAGTCAGTAGAGTGACTATAGTAAACAAACATCTATTGTATATTTCAAAATAGTAGAGAATAATTGAAATGTTTCCAGCATAAAGAAAAGATAAATGTTTAAGGTGGTGGATGTTCCATTTACCCTGATTTGGTTATTGTACATTATATTAATATATTAACATCAAAATATCACACGTACTCCAGAAATAATGCACATCTATTATGTATCAATAAAAAATAAAACTGCCACAGTCATAAATGAAATCATATCCTTCGCAATAATATTGATAGAGCTGGAGGCCATTATCCTAAGTTAACTGACTCAGAAATAAGAAACCACATACCATATTTTCTCATCTATAATTGGGAGTTAAACATGCAAGTGAATTGACTCAGAAATAAGAAACCACACACTATATTTTTCATTTATAACAGGGAGTTAAATGTACACATGGACATAAAGATGGAAACAATAGACACTGGGGACTCTAAAAGTGGGGGAGGGTGGAAAGGAGCCTAGGGTTGAAAAATTACCTATTTTACCTAGAAGCCCCACCAATATGCAATATACCTATGTCATATACAAGTAACCCTTGAATCTAAAATAAAATTGTTTAAAAAATAAAAAGACTCAAGATCTTTGCCACTCAAAACCTGGTACGGAAACAGCAGCATCGCCATCACCTGTGAGCTTGTTAGAAATGCAGACTCTGTTTTAAGAGACAGAGTCTCACTCTGTCGCCCAGTCTGGAGTGCAGTGGTGTGATCATAGCTCACTACACTTTCAAACTCCTGGTCTCAAGCAATTCCACCATCTCAGCCTCCCAAGTAGCTAGGACCACAGGCTCATGCCACCACATCTAATTTGGTTGCGTTTTTTGTTTGCTTTTGTTTTTGTTTTGTTTTTTTTGACACAGAGTCTCGCTCTATCACCCAGGCTAGAGTGCAGTGGTACCATATTGGCTCACCTTAACCTCTGCCTCCTAGGTTCAAGCATTTCTCATGCCTCAGCCTCCCGAGTAGCTGGAATTACAGGCATGTGCCACCATGCCCGGCTAATTTGTGTATTGTAGTAGAGATGGAGTTTCACCATGTTGGCCAGGTTGGTTTCGAACTCCTGACCTGAAGTAATCTGCCCACCTCAGCCACCCAAAGTGCTGGGATTACAGGCATGAGCCACCACACCTGGCCTAATTTTTTTTTTTTTTTTTTTTTTTTTTTTTTAGAGACAGGGTCTCACTATGTTGTCCAGGTTGGTCTCAAACTCCTGGAGTCAAGCAATCCTCCCAGCTTGGCCTCTCAAACTCTAGGACTGCAGGTGTGAGCCACTGTGCCTGGTCCAGAAATGCATACTCTTGATCCTACCGCAAACCTGCTGAATCAGAATCCGTACTTTTTATAGTGTATTAACATAAACTACATATTTAAAGTTTTCATAAGTGTTGACATCTATATCTGTAAAACCATCATCACAATCAAGCTAATGAATACATCCATCACTACCAAGAGTTTCCTTATAGCCCTTTGCCATCCATTCTCTTACCCCCACATCACACCAATCTCCAGGAAAGCACTGATCAGTCACCTTTCTGTTACTGCAGACCAATTAGTAAATTGGCAACAGAAACAGTAAGTTGATAACAAAGAAATTTACAATTTTCTAGAATTTTACATAAATATATGATGTAGCATTATACTTCTGCATGGCTTCTTTCACTCAGAATAATTCTTTTGAGACTCACACATGTTCTGTGTATCAATAGTTTATTCCTTTTTATTGTCAAGTAATATTCCACTATATGAACACGCTGAGTGTGTTCATCCATTCACCTGTTCATGGTCATTGGGTTGTTTATAGTTTTTGACTCTTACAAATAAAACGCAATTATGAACATTCATGTATAAATGTTCAAATGGACACAGGCTTTTTCATTACTCTTAGTTAGAAACCTTGGAGTGGAATAGCTAGTCCATATAGCATAGATGCAAATTTAACTTTTAAGAAACTCACTGGCGGCCAGGCATGGTGGCTCACACCTGTAATTCCAGCACTTTGGGAGACCGAGGTGGGTAGATCATCTGAGGTCAGGCGTTCAAGATCAGCCTGGCCAACATGGTGAAACCCCGTCTTTACAGAAATACAAAAATTAGCCAGGCATGATGGTGGGTGCCTGTAATCCCAGCCATTTGGGAGGG